CTGAAAATACTTTTGAAGCCCCAAATCAGAGATGCGAAACTCCTTTTAATAGTAAATGCAAAGGCATATATTAAGCCTTATGTTAGTTAAAAATATGGAAATATGTTACTCAGTATAATTTACTGAATTCTGCTTTCAATGAGTTTATGGTTTAAATTTGATTTTGAACCATAAACAATCCATCCTTTAAAATTACCCCCCAAAAAACCCATCATCGGAGCAAATAAGTTAAGCCCAGGACATTCTTTCACTATGTGTTATTTGACATTTGTTATTTTAATTAGAACACTGTGATTGATGCCTGTGTACTAGATGAACACTCAGGATTTTTGCAGCAGGTATGGTTAAAGTATGCAACAGGTTTTTTTTGTGTGTGGAAGAACATGTTTATTTATGTTGTTACATCTCAGAGCTGTCATTAAGGTCATAACCTGTAACACCTGTTACTGCCGAGTATCCTTGATGAGCCCTTGATGTTACACCAGTGAACTTGCCTGTTGTTGACATAATTTACCCACAAAGTCACAAGTTTGTTACGGGTATGAAAACCAAGGCAATAGGTGACTCAAAATTTAATGACAGCCCTGCATGTAGAAACCACAAAAGTTGGTTGTTCCCTGAAACTAGAGCCAATGAAGACATTCTTCCCCATCTTTCCTTCTTTTGGTCAACATTTTAGCCAGAAGTATAATTTGTGATCAACTTACCAACCAATTCCTATGCACCAATTGCATGCCTATAGAACATTCACTAATTTACAAAGTAAGAAAATCGGTGAGCCTCATGAAGGGGGTGTAATCTTTTGAGCACATCTGAGAATATCATAGCTATATGATCCATCAAATATCCTGCAAAGTTGGCAGGCTTGAGTTAGGCCATTTCACTTTGTTTCCCCAGGCAGCTGACATAACAGGTGGAGTGTATCTCAAAGTACCACAGACTTTTGCTTTACTTCAATACCTACTGGTGAGCGAGTGATTATTACAGGGATTGTACAGCCTAGGGTTGAGTAGTCTTATGGACAGCTGTTATGTGGATTGTCGCGCAATGCTGAACAGCATTGCCTGATGATTTAAATAATAACAGTTGAGCCAGTAACAGAATGAGCCAGTAGAAAGTGAGGATGATTAGTCATAGCGTATATGGAAATAGACTGCAACATTTTGTATCGTTTGAAAAACATCAGGGTTAGAAGTCAATGGTTCTAGATGCTATCAAATCAAGTCTAAAAGCTTCCTTTACCCCTGAAGCTCTGCCTTCATTCTCTAAGTGATAACAAGTTAATATTTTGGGGGGAAGAGCTTTTTAACCTGGCCTTTCATCAATCATTTCATTTCAGTGGGTGTTTCTTCCCGAGCCGTCAGTCCGTGAACAGTTGATTCTTCCCTCATCAGTACACATTGACTACAGGGCTGCGTGTTTTTGCCACAGGCGACTTGTGGACATTGGTTTTGTTTGTTCAGTTTGTTTATCAAGTAAGACTTATAACACTCTCAAAGCCATCTATTTTGACCTATTTCAAATAGGCAGGAGCCTCAAAGTAAGAGTATACCTTACCAGAGAGCTACACTGTAAGAACAAACCAAACATACCCTGTATCTTGATTCTCACTCCCAGTGGACGAGAGAGTTATTTAACAGATAGTTATTATAAAAGGCCGATTTGCTCTTTTTTTCAGTATTAATCAATTACCATTTGCTCCAATTCTGGCCCTCTTTCCGTCACGCAACTCTTCACACTTAGGAAAGAGGGTCCCCTTTTTGTAAGTGCAGCATTGTGTGACAGAGAGGGCCAGTACTGGACAACATTAATTTCTGGTTATGATCAAGAATGGAAAAGTTTGGAAGTTTGGGAGAACCAAAAATGCCATTTGAACATGAGCTGCAAACATTAGTGTTTTCATACACTAGTTTTTCTGAGTTTTGGGTCTCTCATACAGGTTTATTTCTAATACAACTTTAAATTAGTTTTCACACTATTCCGAACTGTAATTTGTGAAATCTTCTGCAACCGAAATGTGGTTTGTTTTTCTTTTGCTGTTTTTTGCAGTTTATTGCCAGTTCATTCCACTCTGTCTCACCTGCCAGTAAGTTTGTGTTGACTTGACTGTCAATCTTAAAACACTTAACACAAGATTTTCTCAATGTCAAGTTTTTGTGCTTTTGGTGAATTGTGAAAATTTGATTCACAAAAAAATAGAGACTTACTGAATAAAAGAAATGTTAAACAAATCAGAACCAATCAGAACTCAAAGAAAGGGTGGGAAAAAGTGCTGAGGGGAAGTCACGATTGATTTTGATTGGTTAGGAAATAGCAAGTTTGTTCTGATTGGTTAGAGAGAGATAGTACTTGCCATGAAAATGCAAACCAAAGAAAACACATTTCCTATGGCCTAGATGGTCAACTGAAACAGCCAAATGTTGGTCTTCGTAAGTTAACCATTTCCCAAACTCTGTTCCAGGACAAGATTTAAACTTCCAGCCCTCCCCATTGTGAGACCAAAGAAGAAGAAGAAAGAAAACACAGCCCCTGGAAAATAACTTTAATTACTATTTCTAATAATTATCGTACATGTACTGTAAATTATTGATGTGATTAATAATAAAAGTATCTTGCTAGTTTAGAAAATAGAATTTTTTTTTTTATCAAAATCAGCAGTTTCATTATGACCACACAACACATTCTGTGTGCAGTATTTCCTGTTTTCCCACGAATGGATAACCAAGAGGGAAAAAGCATTTCTGCTAGATTATCCATGTTGGGAAATGGAAATGTTTCTTGTTTGCTTTATGCAAAGCATGTCACAAATGTAGGTTCCTTTAAGTGACAAAGAAACCTTTAGATCTGAATATGACTAAAAGATCTGACCGCAAGATTTCAGTGCTCAAGGGGAAAAGACATACCCTAAAAAGTTTTCCCTTGTTCCTTTTGTGCAACGTAAATGGCCAGGTTAAGTTGGTTGATAGTACAAGTTTGTGAACCCTTTGAGAACTACGCCATTCTTGCCAAAATGGCATGTGTTCACATACGCAAATTCTCTCAATCAGATCTAAAGGTCTCAAAAACTGGTGAATATGCCTACCAATTGCATGTGTCATTACATGTGCCCCTTGCCTTCACCTTTCATTCTTGTCCCCGAGCTACTCAATACAAAATGCTAGCCATGTGACTAAAAGAAACATTTGGCTCTAGGAACAAGAGTGGTTACTTTGGCACTCCCAGAAGCAACTGCTACAGACACTGAGTGCATGCAGTGCACTAACACAAAAATAGTACATGTGAAAAACATGCATCTTTATACCAAAGAGCAAGTTGACTTTTTAAATCTTTCACTGTAAAGAATGATAATTTAAACCCCTCACCCTCACAAACATGTTCTTGTTTGAGAATGCATACTTTTTTTGAGCATTTTTGCCTATAATTTTGGCTGCAGCCCATCAAAAATGCCAATTAAGATTTTTATGAAAAACAGAGATCTTCAAAATGGTTTCCAAAGAGGAGACTCTGAAAAACGCAGTTCCCATAGGAAAAGGGAAGTGTGTATGGAAACAATTTATGAGGTGTTTGGTTTGAATGAAAAAAGAAACTTGCAAAAACGTATCAGTATGGCCTAAGAAGGTCACTTCTTCTCAAACATGAATACATTAAAATAAGCAGTAGTAGTGTTTAGAGACCTAACTAGAGTATTCTTGATGAAACACCACACTCTCAGAACTACATGTATTAAGAGATCTTATATTTATGTTATGAGAGTTTAACATTTTGAATGTGGGACTACAAGAAATACTAAACAACGGTACACTATGACACACATGCAATCGTAAAAGTTCAAGTTAATCTTCTTTGTTCCCATCTTTAATCCTAGTGTTTTGGACATTCTATGTCAGAAACACTACTTGTCATTTTATGAAATTAAGTCAAAAACTCTAACGTGATGACACGACTATGTTTCAACCTTGAACAAAACATCTTGTCATCTAATTAGATTTCCAAATTTTCTTGTTTAGTTAATGGTATACTACAGGCGTAAACCACTTTCATAGAATATTTACACTTCCCAGTAAAACACTGCACAAATCATGCATTCAAAAAAAATTCATAGCAAAGCAATCTCCATTTTTGACAACTATGGATACCAAGCAATGGCAGAAAACTGCATGCAGATTAAATTTACTTTGTCAAGTTAAAGCTATGGCTCACTAACTGTTAGAATATTTCACTTCCTAGGAAAGAACCACTTCCATGTTTGACAAATAAATAGCCAAGCAGAGAATGTTGTCCTATGTCAGAAAGCAATTAGGTCTCCATTACTGACACCTGACTAACAACTCACACCTTAAAATAAGCATTTAGTAGCCTGGCATCTGATGTACCTTATTATAGGAGTATGTTTTTTTTTTTGAAACTTCAAGTCACATCAAAATTCGAAGCTGAAGAAAATGAAATTAGTATTAAGGATTAACTCTAACTGGCATTCAACTTTCACACAATATATGTGGCATCCTCTAATGCTTCTTTTAAGATTTACAATTGTAAAATTCCACAAACAAAACACTAAAAACAGGGCAGGAACAGAGTTTTGAAATCCAGTTGCCAACTGGACCAGTATATTTCAGTTTTCAGTTGCCCATAGTAAAATATTACTTGCCAAATGGGCACGCAATGTTCCTGCCTTATCAACTACTTCATTTACTACATACGTGACAGGAACAAAATAGTCGGGCATCTAACTTTTGCTTTAAAGCAACTGAAAAACTTACTTTTTCCATAAGCTTAAGTGCTGGGCACCCAGGATTTCATGGTTAGGAGGAACCTTGGAGCTCCTCATAATTTTTCTTAATCCAGCGCCTTCCTACTTGTACATGTAAATAATTTAGAGATGGCCAATCATTACAAACAATACAAACTACATACAATACACATAAACAGCTGTCATGAATCCTCCATTTCTTGGAAAAGAGATAGAACAGAGTTTGACTCGAGTTCTTTCTGGATTTCATCAATGTCTGTGGGAAGCATGTCTTTGCCGTCCAACCAATCAGATAGCAGCGAAGCCGACAGGGATGGACTGTTTGGTAAGCTAGCAGGAAGTGTGAGACAGGAGTCTTTATAAGGGCTACCAAGGCTAGATCTATAGGTGGAAAGATAGGCAAAAGGTTAAGTCTGCATCAGGTCAAGTGGCCCATCCCACAGGCGCTTATCCAGGCTTCTGCAGGATCAAGTGACTTGGTATACAGTGTATCTAATCCCCCTGGATGGCATGCTAGCCCACTGCAGGATTCCAGTCCCCTGCATTCCCTGGTACCTATTCACACACCTGGGTTGAGAGAGGTACTGTGAGAGTACAGTGTCTTGCCCGAGAACACAATGCAATGGCCCCACCTAGTAATTGAGCCCCAACTGCTCAATCTGGAGCCCAGTTTACAAGCCATCATGACTACCATTAAAAAAATCACCAATGGCACACTTACGTGTACATTTTCAGAATTCCCCCCGCCCCCCACCCTTAACCCCTGTTGATTGAAACACATAGGAAAAGTAACTTACAGGCTAGACAGTGCTGGATCCTGTGCTATTCCAGCATTTTCAAGAAGTTCTTCAATGTCAATTCCTAAACCATAGCCACTCCCAGCTCCTTTTGCCCTGGAAGACAGCATGCTGGAGAAAATCACTTCCTCAGTTAACCTATCATGCTCAGTTACTCCCTGTACATTGAGGTCACTAAAGGCATCTTGGACACTCTCAGGAATGAAGTTGTTGTTTTGTTGGGATGCTTCAGTTCCTGGGGCAATGGCACAATTTTGCTGTGATGTAAATTGCTCTGATCCTGGTGATGTCCTGGGGTGGGATTCCGTTGCGGTACATGTCATTGTAGCAGTACTGTTTGAGGTGTCAGCCAGCTTAAAGATGGGTGATTGTATCATTGGAGAGTTGAGCACTGTATTCCAAAGCAACTGTGCATCGGACTGACTTAACATGGACTGTAGCATAGACTGAAGACTTTGAGGACTCATGAGGGATGGTGCCATCTCATCTTCTGTCACGCTGCAAAAATCCAAACTAGTGTCTAATGGAGCTGCAGTTGATGCAACTGAGTCTGTCAAGGAAAACGATGAACTAACCAGTGCTGAAGTTGAGTTGAAATTTGAAGTTGGATGAAGAAAAGCATTTTCAGACTGAACTGTTTGTGTCTGTAAAGGAATGTTATTACTTGCAAATGTCTGTGAAGCTGTACTCCAAGGAATATTGTCCAATGTAGAAAGGACAGAACTACTTGTTGACTGTGGAACTTGAGTAGACAAAGTGACTTGCGTTGGTTGAGACTTATTATTTGAAGTGGACAAGAATGGAGGTGATGTGTTTGACAGTGCAATACCTTGATTATTTGTACATGTAGTGTTGATGTGCGGAACATTCAATAAAGGTGAGGGTGAAACTGTCAATGACTGGTCTTTAGCAAGATATACTGAACTCGTCACGCTGTTAATCACAGCTGCTCCTTGCTGGGGTGTTGACATATTGACCATTGAGGTGTTTGTAACATTGTGTAACTGATTATTTGGACCTGGCGCTGTAACTACCAAGTTTTTACTAGCAGTGACATGTGAAGGAATTCCAAGTTGAGTAACCAACCTGGGCACAGAATGGCTCTGAAAATTACTGAAAGATTGTTGTGAGAGCATTGAAAAGGCAGTTGAGGTACTTGTCTGCACTGGCGTTGATGAAACAGCTGTTGCCAAGCTCATCACAAGTTGTGTAGATGTTGCTTTATTGCTCGCACCATTACAGACAGACTTTCCCATGACATTACTAATTGGATCACAAGTGACCCCAGCAGTAGTCTTTGCAACACGTGTGGTGAGTCCAAGTGGCAGACCTGCTGAAGTTCCTATGGTGCTGTTTTGCACACTTGCAGTTTTTCCTTGGGATTCTTGATTACCTACACAAGTTGCAAGAATTTGTTTCACAGGGGCTTGGGATGTAGATTTTTGAGGAGCAAGGACAAGTTGTGGAGTTGCCATGGGAACAGGAACATTCATTAGCACAGAAGGAGGCAGCGATACCACTTGGTTGGGTGCTAATAGAACAAGCTTCCCTGCAACTAAATAGTAAACCCAAAAATTAATAAAAAGAAAATGATAGGTGAGCTCTCTGTACGATGGATGGCTATGTACGGCATGCACATCACAGTAATTGAGGGTGTGGTAAAGGCTTTATGCAAAAGGCTGGAAACTTAAACCTTAAGTTTGAGAGTTAAATTGGTGAAGAAACACAGTCAAGTATTTTTCGAGTTTCAAGTTTTTTTTTGTTTTTTTTTTTGAAGCATGTTTCTTTTGTTCATGTGTGCCATTGTTTTAAAAATTCTCAAGATGCTTTTGCCAAATCGTACGGATCTAAATTTTCATTTAATATGGAAAACATCATAGCAAAGCCTATGTTACTTACGTATATGTAATAAAACATGAGGTCCTTTCCAAAAAATTCAGCCAAACACAGTTCTGAATCTTTCTTAATCCATCAAGTAATCATTGTCAAGATATGCATTGGAGAATTTCTTCCCCTACACTGGCAAGATGGGGGTGCCAGGTCTATTATGAGTGGTGGATAAGCAGAACCAGTTTACATAATGCCATCAGTAATCAAAATTACCAATACTGTAAGCAGTATAACCTACCTGTCTGAACAACAGCACCACCCCCCTGAAGAGTCTCCGTCACAATAGGTACTGCCTGACTTGGAACTTTGACAGCCTTCAAAGCAGTCACATTTCCATTTTGGTTTTGTGGTACAAACTGCGTAAACTGAAACTGTTGCTGATTTCCAGGAGGGAGGAGTGGCTGAGAGGGCACTGCAGCAATTGGTTTGGTATCGTCACACAGGGCTTCTTCTTTCAACTCATGAAGCTCTTTCATATACTTTCTTATTGGGTGTATAAATGGTTTGGTTTGCTTCCTCATGTTCTCCCACCTTGCTAGCATTTGCTTGTCACTGTCACTCAGCCCTGTAGAGCTATCTGTTTTTGTTTCTTTGTTTTCTGATTGCCTCCTGGCCGCTTTGGACTTCTTGCTCTGACTTTCTTCTTTCTCCTTCTTCCTTTTGAGGTTTTGCTCCATTTTCTGGCGAACATCCACCAGGGTTAATGAAGAAACTGGAATGTTGCCTAGTTTGACAGAAGTCAACAGCAGATATGTCAAATTAAAAATATCCAGGAATGTAGTTGACTTTAATCCTTACCAGCAGCATTTGCATCAGCATTGTCAGTAGTGAGATCCCGACATAATTTTGTTAAACTATGTAGCTGTTTCCTTACTCATATAATCCAGAGTTTAATTAATGTTTTCGGCAGGAGGGCAACTGGTTTTCACAGGCAAGCAAAACTACTTGAACTGAACTTCTTTATAAGAAAAATTGTCTGCTAGATAGTCAAACCAGGCAGGCAAAATCATCCTTGCAGCTGGTCAATTTGCCCAGTGTTTGGCCCTTGGTGAAACCCCCGAATAATGCTACTTACATGTATTACTAAATTGTTAACAGGCTAATTTGTTTCCACCCAAGGTTACTCAATTCCCCCATGAGGAACAAGAGAAAATTTATCTGAAGCAAAATTTACAGACTGTATGCCAATCTTATTATAAGCATTAGGGTTATAACATACCTTTTTTGGAAGCAACTTTGTCCTTTCCTTTTTCACTTGACTGGGTTGATGAAACTTGGCTTGATTGTAATTGTTTTGGAGAGCAAGGAACTGGAGACAAAATCAACATCCTATCTTTGTGGAACTGTTCAATTTCTTTCAATATCCTTGCCTTCAGATCATCTTTAGTAAAAGGGAGGTCCTCAAAGTCAAATTCAAATGGTGGAAAGCACAAAGGCTCATCATCGATACAATGATATTCTTTCAAATAGCTGTGAGCCAATGCCTCACCCACAGAAATTCTTTCCTTTGGATCCAATTTAAGCATTTTTCCCAACAGATCCAGTGCATCTGCATGGCACTTGTCTTTGGGGTAAAGCTTGTCCAGTGGGACTGGATCTTTCTTTGGCAGTCGTCTAAGATATGTCTTCACTCGTTCAGCACCCATTCGTTCTATGAAACTTTCTGATGGTGTTCCAACCACACTGAGAATCAGCTGAAATTCAGATTACCAGTATTTAGACAAACATTGAAGTTAAAAGAACTGATCAATCACTTCCAACAGACTACATGTACTTAGACTCCCCCCACCTATCCCATTTGTTTTAATTAATTTTCCTACGGGAAGGGTGGATTTGGAAAAACACTATCACAATACATATCAAACTGCTGATTCAGTTCCAAACTAGACCACTTCGGAGGCTAGGTTAAATGCTACTCTCCTATCCCCACATGATATAAAGCCACCTTGTGAAAGACATTGTTAAACTCTCATTTCTAAGTACTAAACTCTACATACATGTAGCAGCAAAATGTAGCTCCCGTTAAAACCTCACTTCTTAAAGACAACATGACCTTTATCCCTCTCAACCCTGCTTAAAAACAAAAATTAATTTGTATTTTGTTGATTATTGATAAACAATCCAGTATTCTTGTTTTTGTCATGGCTCACTGAACCCCCTTAATGCATTTTCATTACAGAAATAAGAATTAAAACTGCATATATCAATCTGTTATGTCCAAACATGTAAATGCTCACTTGTTCACATAAGAACATTCCATTTTTAAATCCACACCCACCCCCCTCCTCCTTCCCCTTCCTATGGAGGGCAGATTCCAACAGTCTAGCTTTTTGTTGTTGGCACCTTTATGTTTGCACCCGAGGATTTCCAAATTTTGTCAGCTTCTTTGAAAAGGTTTTCAGAAAGGCCCTGTATCAGAGGTTAGCCTCCATAGGGGAGGGGGTGTACTATCAGACAGTACACTGTACCTGCAGCTGGTTGAGATAGTTTGTTCCTGGAAATAAATGCTTCCTTCCAAGCATTTCGGCAAAAATACAACCCACGGACCACATATCGATCGCTTCTGAGTATTCGTTCAACGAGAGCATCAACTCCGGCGCTCTGTACCATCTCGTTGCAACGTATTCGGTCATCACTCTCTTTTGCTCCGAAGGTGAGGACGACAGCCCCCGAGCCATTCCGAAATCCCCAATCTTCAATTCGCAATCTTCGTTCACCAGCAAATTGCTCGGTTTGAGATCTCGATGCAGGACTTTTGCGGAATGGATGTACTTTAAACCTCGTAGAATTTGGTAGAGAAAATATCGCACATGTTCGTCGGTTAGTTGTTGTTGTGAATGAATGATGCGGTGGAGGTCGCTTTCCATCAAATCCAAAACAACATAAACATCATTGAATTGCTCCAAATCGTCGGGCGGTTTCAGGATGTTTTTTATAGAGATGATGTTATCATGTTTGAAGTGCTTCAAGATCTTAAGCTCTCTGTACGTTCGTTTTGCAGTGGTCACAACGTCGAAGGCCCGGGGAATCTTCTTAATTGCGACCTTGCTGCCATTTTTCGTGTCTATGGCCGAACACACAATTCCGTAAGCTCCATTGCCTATATTCTCCAAGAGCTTGTAACGGGCATCTAACTCGAACTTAACCTCGTAATTTTTGTCCTTGATCTTGTAGGTACGGGTTCCAGTCGCCATTTCTTTGCTGAACTTTGCAAAACTAACGCATCTTTGAACATGGTTGCGGAATAAAACACTTGTCGAAAGCTACCGGGACAACGAGCGGTTACAAAGCCATTGCGGTTGTTTTTTATACGGGCGGTGAATTATGATAAAAATAGTAACAGATGACGTAGCCAAGAACCAATCAGAATTCAACCGGAAAAGTAACAGCGCAGAGGGAAAACCCCACAAATATTAATATGTTCATGAATTTAGAAAAATCCGGGTTTAGGACAATGCCTTTTGTCAAAACAGAGACTTCCCCTAGATATTATGGCCTTGATGGCTAACCTAGAATAAATCACTGTTTCATGTGCCTGTTAAATAATTGTTATATACAAGAACTGCTAGATCATGCAGTTTCCAGCATCATATATTGGTCAACTTCATCATATTGTTAAGTGATGAGCAGGGAGCGTGTCTGAAGAGCAGGGAATGGGCTGAAATGGCAAAGTATACTAGTACCCACCCCTCGCCCAAAATAATACCATGGCAAATTTTCATGAAATGCAATGAACTGGAGAGAAGTATTTGTCATCATGAACAACCAAATAAAATTTGAGAAATTCTTAACTAGCAAAATAAAAACCCTCCAAACTTGGCTGCTGTAGGAAGGACTTTGTGATAAAGTGATGGTGAACCATAAATTAGGAGCCCCTTGTATAACTTCATTCATGTCTGGCACTGATTTCTTGCTTACTTTAATAAAGATGCTTACAGATTCTCGGCACTTCTCTTTGAGGGAATGGACAGATCATTTCCCAGTGCAGTTCATTAAACAAAGTATGCTGCCCAACATAGACACTTTAACAGTAGTGAGCAGCAAGGCATGTGTGATGTTTTTAAAACAGGTGGACCCAAGGATTTTATGAAAGAAGATGTTTAGTGGGACCACAGAGTACATAGTCCCTAGGGGACTTAAGGACCTTCTACTCTTGTTTCCAGAGCAAGAGAGGTATTAATACAAGTAACTTCTTATTCTGAGTTGCAACCATGTTGACTCTACCCTGGATTTGTCTGTAGCTGCTACCATTATGTGCTATCCTATTTAAACAATCTGACAAGCACAAAAAGTCATTAAAAAAATTAACTTTATTGATAATCTTTACAAAACAGTGTAGTGGTCTCATTCTTTTTTCTTTCTGGCACTTGCACTCGCCACTGCTCGATTCAGGGTTATGAAGTTTATGATCAACAAACATGCATTGACAACATACGTTGAAATACACACAAGGCATGTGTCATGCAGGATAAAGAATAAAATATAACCAAGATAAACTGAGCCTGCACAGGATGAGACAGCAAACATGAAATTAATCCAGGCAGCAACTTTGCTTTTGGACAAACCTGAAATGTTAATCAAACAGTTCAATCATTCAATATTAAGCATAATTAAGATTGAGTTAACATCCCATTATCATATTATTACACTTTATGACGCACAAAAGGAGTGGTCTTAGAACATCATCAATCAGTAATGTCATTGTTGTTGATATACTATTTCCAACCAGAAACCAACAATAATTTTTTACAGGTGTGAAGATTAAGGTAACTGATGACTTAAAACTTAATTACAGCCCCGCTATGAACACAATAGACCATTTCCGAGTTGCCTTCTGCCTCTGTATTAAAACGAGTCTATGTGCAAAACCATGGCGTATGAAAATGCATTTGGCCTATGAGTCCATTTTCATGTAAATCAAACTCATTTTCATATGAAAGGTTAAATTGCAAGAAGACTTGTTCTGAAACAGAGGCAGATCATAACTCAGAAATTACCTATTGCCTTGTGATTAGGTATACAAGCATGATTCACAGATTTCAGGAAGATATCAACAGGACTTACAGATGTAAATATGATTATCCTGCAAGGGAGAAATTTGTAATGTATATAAATCATTATTCCTACCTAGTAAAACAATCAAAGAGTAAAAAATGATTCCAAAAATACTGTTGGGCACATTGAGAGGTGAATCTTTACCCATAACTGGTTCAACCAAGCCAAAACCAGTTCCATACCTGGTGGAAAGAATGCATCATTATGGTATTAAAAATAAAGATAGTAAAAAGTGGTTTAATCTATACTTCCTATGTGCTTTAAATTTATTGACTGTTGCATGGATATAGCCTAATCAACACTCGATCGACACTCCACTGATACTTGGTCAACACTTGATCAACATTTTGGTCAGCAGTTGGTCAAGAGTCGACTAATTTTGGCAGAAATACTATCGAGTGTCGATCAATACACATGATTCGATTGACACTCTGCCAACTATCGACCAACTTCCAATTGACTGTTGATTGAGTGTCCATTGAGATGTCGCTAGAGTGTCAATTTAGTGTTGACCAAGTGTTGATCGACACTCAACCATAGATGCCTTTAGTACACATGATCCAGAAAATATAGGCACAGATACTGTTAACTACCTACTTTGACGTAAACACTTTTGAACAGCTCATGTGCTCACTGATGTCACAAAGAGCTTTGTAGTCCTTATTGTGCATCTTTGAGAACTCGACATGAAGGGCATAAGCTGATAATGTGATGCCAATGACACAGAGCAAAAAACGGCTTACACCAATGCACTCCACCATGACTAACAGTTCAGATGTACTACCCTGCAAGAGTTCAATGCAAAAATGAATTTAGAACTTCCTTAGACTTGCATAACTGGCAGTTTGTTGTGAAATAGTATAGTAGAAGCTGCAAACATTTGCCAGTACTATGCCCTGTGACACAGGATATACAAACAAAAGTTTCACAAAATGTAAGTCTTTCTACAAACTCTCTAAATTATGGGGAAGTATTAATTTTTTTCATATTCAACATAACCAACTAAGATTGGTAATGTTCCCATTTTGAAGATGTTCTATATCATGAAACTGACATAAAGTTTTAAACTGATTACAGTGTCTGACAAAAATATCAGCTCAAAGTCACACACATTGTTGTTTTGTTGCTAAGTAACCACTTAAATGGCAACCGCAAGCTCAAACAACCCTTTTGACAGTTTTGATCTGAAACAGTCCTGCTAGACTTCCCCAAGGATGACTCTTCTATGGAGCCCCAGGGTTTCGGGAGTTTTGGTCTGAAATAGGGTTACCATGGTGACAGGTTTTCCTTTCTTGGATTAAAATTCTACATGAAGGTCAATAAGTACACACAAATTATACTGACTAGGCTAGGGGTACAGAAATCGTGATGATTATATAGTTTAGCTTACACTGAAACACACTGTTTCAGTGTGAACCAACAGCAATGCGCATCCCTAAATGGCTAACCACATAATGTTATATGAAAGCCACTCCTCCTCCTTAAATAACACCTTATCTCCTGTCATATTTTTTTCGGCTCAATACCCTAAAAGGTATCACAAAAGGTCCCACTGTGGACCTTTTTAGGCTGAACACCCTAAGAGATACGAAAACTGCGTTCTTAACCCCTAAAAGGTACGACGAACANCCCCCCCCCCCCCCCCCTTCTCCGGGGTCTGAGTATCCCACAACCCGTTCATTTTTGGCCTACGTATCCCGTATCCCGTTAATTCCAATTGCAAAAATTAATGATTTTCCCACTCGATATCCCGTTTTATCTGATCTATATATTCCATTGATTTTCCCCCAAAATATCCTGAAAACAAAGGTTGCACGATAACAAAGGTGGCCGTTCACCCGTTACATTGATCGACGCTTACAAAAACTCCGCGGATTTCAATTATTTACATCAGATGACTTGCACTATAAGTACTAACCTGAATAATATCTCAAATGATTTAATTTGCGTGCAGCTCAACGCTTAGAACCAACGTAAAATCTGGCATACAGATCACATGTGAGGCCAGATTTACAAAAGCGGCGTGGTTACCAATGTGATTGCCTGGTTACTAGGCACCGTGTCAAATAATGAACAACAACTACAGGAGGTTGAGCGTTTCGCGCGGTTTTTGAGATTTTCCAAAAACCTTTGTCAATTTTTTTTCAACTCCTCGCTTGTGTCGTGTAGCTTTTGTTGTACGATGTCTGAGCAGGAGGATCAGAATACAGAGCCGGCCGTTAATCGTCCTCCCAAGCGAAAACTGTTAAGAAAACGACAAAATCGTGACGACATCTTTTCGTACAAAGGACAAATACCGTTGTCATTTAGAACGAAGCAAGTTAAGGTGGATACGGACAGCTCCGATTCGGATAATGACGACGCTTTTCAGCGAGTGCACTCGGAAGATAACGTGAAAAGCGAATCCCCTAAAGCAAGGGACAGTGATAGCGATCGAGACGAAGATGACATGTAAGTTTTCAATGCAAGACGGTGCAAATTAACCATGTTTTTAACTTAACCTAAGATGACAGAATTCTAATTTTGTGGCATACCAATATAAGCAAGCTTTTATTTCTTAATCCGTTAATTCAGGAAGCTTATTAAAGCTATTTAAACTTTCTGATCGATGTTACCTTCAACATAACAAAGCAACGTTATTTTGTCATTGTCACTTGTCATTTGTTATTCTTGATTACCCTTTTCGTATTTTCATATTTTAGTGACTAACAGTTTTGACAATTTTTTTGTAAGAACATCCCCTTTGTTTAATGTTAATGTTTTGTTCCAGAAAATAGCCATAGCCCTCCCACAAAGGGTGTTTGGTTTGAACCCCATCCCCTCCCCCCACCTTATCCTGCTGGAAATTCCAGTTTTGGCTCTTACATTCCTTTAAAAATCTTGGCTTTTTAGACCCCTCCCCTTTGGAATTTCCAATGTGCAGTTTCAGAAAATATCCATACTTGGAGACCTCCCACAGAAGGGATTGGAATTTCCTGGGGGTATGGATATTTTATGGAACTACACAGAAACCTTCCTGGATGTGGGTATTAATACTTTCTTGAACCACACATACATTATCATGCCTTGTTATTCAATAAGACAAAGGAAAAGTCAATATTAGTTGAATTATACCGTAAATCATGTGGAATATCACCTGAAACACAAATCCATTGGCTTTGTTGGCTAAAATCAGGTGGTACATGTGTACCAGATCAAGGAGGATACTATTTTGTTTTTGTTTTTTTGTTCCATGAATTTTTAAAGAATCACATGCTAAGTTTATAGCTACTCAGAGGATATCTGTCATGTAGAGATTACTGAGAACAAGGGCTTCCTGACCATTTTGGGCATGACAATTTATTGGAATGGTAGATCTCTCAAGCTTTGCCTGTTGGTCATGAGACTTGCACAATAAGTTCAGTCTTACAGTCGAAACAAGTCTTCCGGCGAAATCATTCATATGGACATGTGTTTCCCCTGCATTTGCATGCAAATCAAACCCATTTTCATATGAAAGGTTTTGCAGGAAGACTCGTTTTCAAACAGAGGCACAAGGTAACTTGGAAATGGCCTGTTGTAGCTGTTGATTTTAATGGAGTGCAAAGAAAAATGTGAGACTTATTAGGTAAGAATGACAAGGTGCCTTGTGTTGTGTGACAATCTGAGATGTAAGCAGGAGTGGTCACTCTTATCTCCAAGGAACACCTTCATTTTCAGATCTTCTAATTTGAGACATACATTACAATCATCCTTAAATCTTTGAAAGAGGAGGTCATCCACTAATTGCTTTTTGGCTTAAGGCTTCCCAATTTTGTTAATTGTTTGTGCGAGCATGATTACAGACCCATTTGATGCTGACCTAATCAGCTGACAGTGTTACTTTTGTTCATTGTTGTCATTAGTTTGATCACAAGTGACAAGTCTTTGGAAGAAATTGACAGCTCCACAAGTGACATCAGAGAGACAAGTTTTACTAGATCACCATCACCGCCACCACCATGCCCAGAACTTTCCACAGCTACACTTATCAAGATTAACCAACGCCAAGCTAACAATAGAAAGCGAAGGTTTGTGAAATAAAAATCCATTTAGCGCTTCAAAGTTCAAAACAGGACACACTTTCACATACGATAAAGGTTGAATTTATAACAGAGGTTAAAAATTGACAAAAATGTTAGGGACAAGTGGGCATTTAATCCAGCCTATAACTAGCTTATAACTCTACCCACTACTGCCCTAGTAGCATATAGCCATAGAAACACCAGACTCTGGATGTTTTAAAAGGGTGAAGAATGCTTTCCATTACGAGATAAATCACTGTCACGTAAATAAGTGTTAACAAAACACACTTCTCTGTGTACGTGATGGTGTTTTTTTAGTTGACAGTAATGTATTATCACACATCAAATGCCTGAGCCCAGGCATAATAAGCAATGGCAGCTAGAGGCCACTTCCCTCGGGAAGACTGTACCTCTTGAATACATGTCAACGTGTAAATGTTTTTAACTATGAAACATACTGCACCTGTGTTGATTTTAAACTTTTTTTTTTAATTTCATTTTTAATTTAACAAATACATTATATGTTGGTTTTTTCATTGCTTATCTGATTGAAGACCAAGATACTCTGGGAGGTGTAGGCATCAAAAAAGTAACATAATAAATTGCTTGTGTATCTGTTTGGTCATCAATGAGTAGAGAAGGTTAGAAAGCCAACATTACATGTAAGTTGTTAAATCTAGCCATTTCAATAGTGGAAACAAAAATACCTACTGTCCAATAATAATTTGCATTTTTACAGAGAACTTGACAATGTGTTGGATGCACTGAAAAAGTCAGCTGATAACAGCTGGTCCTCGCCTGACAGTGTCCTACAGGGCAGTGTGATTAATCTTGATGACAGTTATGGTCTTCCGAGTCCATCTGAGCGGAATGTTGTGGTAAAGGTTCGAACAAGGTCCGGAATAAGAAGATTCACTATGAAGGCTGTAAGTATCATGGTGCATTTTACGCAAAGCTTCTCATTGTGTATGATCCCCTAGTGTACATTGTCTGTACATGTTTGTAATCTTGATGATGATGGCCATCCTTGTTCTTCACTAATCAAAGTACAATCTTTATCTTCACAGGCAGAATCATTTGGAAAGATCATATCACAGCTTGCAGCACAGGAAGGTGTGACGGAGGACAAGATCATGTTAAGCCTTTCAGATATCAACATCCTGGGCTATGATACACCTATTTCTATTCATCTCAGTGTGGCCGATATCATTGGTGAGTTCCCACATGGCAAGTAGCTCGATGTAAAACAGGATCAACTTGCTTGATCAACACTGGGCCCCTCTTACCCTTACTGGACGGGCATAGAGGCATTAGAGAGGGGTCCAGGTTCTCTGGCCATTCCCACCATTTTGTAGTGCCATGATTGTCTACTGGTTTTAAGCACTGGTTTTTACCAGGCACATGTGTTAATGACCTGTGGAACTAGCAGTGTCTATTTTTTAATGCTGATCATGTTTCATTGCTCACAAAACGTGATGCTCTATACTCAACTAACTTAAAAATTCAGGGGTCGTACCTAAGCTGGAGACAAGGTCTACAAGTCACATAGTGGGATGAAAATTTGCAAAATGCAGCCAAAGACAGCGAAGTAGCGTGGTTAAAAAGAATTCAGCCACTTTACCTAATAGTACTAGAGCTTTGTCTTGGCCTGAAGGGTTGTTCAAAAGCTTATTGATTAAATACCTCCCTTGATCGCATCCGTCCTGTATAAAAGTACAAACCAACTTTCTACTAGTTTGTATAGTGTGATCGTCTGGGTGAGGGTAGCTCTGAAAACAACTATATATTGGTGACTGACGTTTTGACAACCTGAGCGGAAGTCATCTTCTGAGTGAAGTGAATAGTATTAATTTTATCAGTCAGTGGTGTTACAAAACAGTCTGGTCCTTTGAAAGTGATTGGTCAGTTTAGCCATGATGGTATCGGCTGAAAGACTTATGTAAAGTTTGTCATTTGTCAGTTCTAGTAACTTTTGATCCATCTATTGTCAGTCAACTTACTACTGTGTGTAAAAGCCAAAGAATGCAGTGGTCAAATAAGAACAAACTAACCTCTCCCTTGAATACAACTGTGCATGAAATGACTGTTTCTTTTCTCTAGAATGTTTGGTTGTGGATGCGCCAGTGGCAGACAGAGAAGAAGAGGATGAAGAAAACACAATTGAAATAAAAGTTCAGGGGAATGATCCTGACTCTAAGAAAACATTTAAAGTAACAAAGGTAATTATTGAAATTAATAATTCTTAGAACAATATTCTAAGCACTGGCAGTGTGCAAAGAAAGTCAGGTAATGTCCTGTAGCCTGGCGCTTGTGGATTTTGTGACCAGGTTAGCTGATTCTGTCCTTCACTTGCCCAAAGGAAAAGTGAAGTGTTTTGGGGTGAAATTTGAGAAAAGTAAAATTTCAGAATAATGTGAAAATATCAAATAAAGGAATGGACTATATGACTTTTGTTGAATGATTTTGACAAAAATAATATCCTGCAAGCAATCTTGCTCCAGAAAAGAATTTATGCAAACAACCAGTTCCAAAAAAAAAAAATGCGCATGATCAGTGAGCCAAAAAGCATGTTACATGGAGAAAAACATATTGTTCATATACACGTCCTAGTGCATGAAAGGGTTAAAAAAATTGTGCCTGTACCAAATTACCCACACCCCCTCCCTCGAAAGTCTATGGTCCACCCTTTACTGTTTTATCTTACATTTGTAGTAATTAAAAAATTGTGCTGGTGGGGAAATTTTTGGGGGTGGGGGAGGGGCTTGCACATTCCAGTTACACCTTGCTCAAAGAACAAGCTGGAAAACTGGATTTCTTTGTACCCTGCTGAGGATAGTCCTTCAGTGAAAACCAGTGAAATCAAGTCGTTTCTGTTTAACACTGTTACATGTATGTGTTACAATTTGGTTTGATTTCATTTCATTACTGGTCTCTAGCCCAATGGTCTTGATTTGTCCCTGATTAGTTTGAAAGCATGAATGGTCTATTCTAAGTGGTTAATTACAGTACTTCTGATAGTGAATAGACCCAAGTAGGGCAGAATTTCTTTGTCATTTGTAGCACATTGTTGCATTACATGTTGAACAGCAAAGTCCTGTTCAGTCAGTTATGTATGTAATGAAGTACTCTGCTTTCTCATTTCAGACCGACCCGTTAGAGAAACTAATGGCAGCCTATTGCGAATTTAGAAACCTTCCACGCTCACGACTCAAGTTTTTGTTTGATGGAGACGAGCTGAAAGGAGGTGAAACGCCAGAACAGTTAGATATGGAGAATGAAGATGTTATAGATGTCAGAATAAGTAGTTTGTGAGAACATCAACTAGTGTAGGAACAAATTCTGCGGGAAGAATGCAGCTTGTCACAAACTGAGATGTTTTGAACAATTGGTGACAGTGTTTAATGAGTTTGGATCATTTTTCTGGTGGGATTTCGGAATGTGGTTTGTGTTTACAACTATTCTGTCTGTGCCTCACTTGAACAGTGTTTGGTAAATGACCTATGAATGGATGGCAAAAGTGATCATTCTGATCCTAGGCTCCGAAAGCACCCAACATAACCACTTACAACCTGCTTAAAATCAGAAGAAACAAGTTTACGCCGAGGGTTTTCTGTGATGCATGTGCCTACTTCGCTTTTGTTGCTCGCGTTGAAAGACTTGTAATGACGGATTACTTCTGTCGTCATATAACAATAATATGATGAAGCGTACTTAATCATCTTCAGGTTAACTACAAAAACCAAGTCTAGAAAGCTCTGCTGGCAGAGCGCAAGAACATTGCAGTTTTAACGCTAAAACGCGCCCTTTCTTGCCGCTTGGTCCTTGTTTTGATACTATTTGAAACAGAGACGGTTAAAGATTTCATTGTGAAGAATGAAGTTTTAGACTGTATGGTCTGTTTTTGGTGCTTTCGTCTAGTAAGTTTCGGACCTCGTAAAAACTAGATACTTGTGCCGTCATAAGCGCTGTTTTGTGAAGTTAGAATTTGCGTCCCAAAGAAAGTGTTCAGTCACTCTCGATTCTCAGTCAGTGTAGCAGTGTTTGTAAATATTCTTAGAGTTATTGACAATGTCATGAGAATAAAATCTGGACTTAATTCAACTATCTCATGTCCTCAGCATTTTGTTGTTTCCTTTTGCTGTACGTCGGTGTAGATTTTGCAGGAGAAAAAGTCCTCCCCCTCAGTCCTCCGAGTGGTACACGCCTCTTCCAGTTTACGTGTGTAAGAAGTAAGGCTTTGTTGGATAAAAAACAGAAAGATTGGTAAAAGCTTAAACCCCAAAGGGTTATAGGAAAGGCTTTCTCTCCCCAGACCCCCATTTCATTTTGATTTTTATCAATGTGAGATCCGTTTACATGTATGGTTTACTGCTCAGAAGAATGGATAGTGGATTCTGATAGATCTTCTCATCATTGGTACATGTAATTTGATTAGAAAAATTCGTGCGTTGAATGTCACGTGTGTTCTGGAAAATAAATCAGGGCACTGGAACAAATCACTAGCGCACATTAATTAAATTCACACTTTAAGTTTATCCAAGAAACAATATATTCACCTGGCGATTAAAGCTCTGGCTCTCTTGCTTTACTGGCAGACCTTTTCTTTTTAGAAATTTGCCTTTCACCAAACGGATGACAAAATAAATTTAAATTAGGAGTAAATTTTAAAATACTTTTAAAAGAGCTCGAGAATATTTAGGTTCAGCAGGGAATTTTTTTTCAGAATAATCAAACTCCCCTAGATATTGCCTTTCTGTCATTAGATACTTAGATATTTAGGCTACCGATACAAACGAACTGTCAAAACAGCAGGTTTTTTTCTGGTGTCAAGAAATCCGACAAGTTAATTTTTTCCTACAATAAATCTTGCCAATGAGACCTGTTTGGAAGAGATATCGGGGCAAGCAGAGTTATCGACAATCATGTTAGTTAACTGCCTTGTTTTCTTCGCCATATTTTTCTTTCTTGGGCTCAATTGTGAGCCTCAAACACTTCTTCTAATATCTCTAGACGGATTTCGGTGGGATTTCGCCGGAAAAGCTCACACACCATACTTGGAATTTCTCAAGAAAACTGGCGTCACTGTTCCATATGTCCGATCCGTCTTCCCAACAGTCACAATGCCAGGACACTACAGCATTGTAACGGGCCTCTACCCCGAAAGCCACGGCATTATAAGTAACACCATGTACGATCCGATCCTCAAAGCCCGATTTGGTGCCGCTCAAACGGATCCACGGTGGTGGAATGGTGCGGAACCAATATGGGTGACAAACCAAAAGCAAAAGGGAAAAAGTGGTGTCTTATATTGGCCTGGGTACAACATTAAAATCAAAGGCATGTATCCGAAATACAGGGAATACTCGCCTTCACCCATTGTTGACCAGTTCAACAAAACAGGTAAGGTCACGGGGTTTGAGAAACGCGCTAAGAAAGTAATTGACTGGTTGACGGCTAAAAACCCGCCCAATTTTGTTGCTGTTTATTTCGAAGAGCCAGACAAAACATGCCACCACGAGGGGTGGTGTGACTTGCCCGAAGCTATTCAACGAGTCGACAAAACTGTTGGTTTGATTGTGGAAGGATTAAAACGACACGAGCTTCTCGACAAGGTAAACATAATAATCACAGCAGATCATGGCATGACTAACACCTCTTGCAACAAAGTGATTGACCTTGATAAATATGTCGACCCAGAGAATTACGATTTCTGGGATTCCTGGTTTAACATGTTGCTGGCGCCG